AAATTTGAATATTCAATTCAAAGCAGTGTTTTATGTTATGATCGTCTACACGTGTAAACCGTCAAAAAAGCTTTTCTTTGTGTAATACCGGGGTTTGTATATTATTATGTTATGAACTCTATAAGCTCCTTTCGCGGTAATTGTAGTTGTAACGATAGCGGTTGTGCCATAACAAACGGCCCACGATGCGCCAAAAAAAACGTGACTACTTAGTCAAGATATTCATTCGTGTCCATTCACTCCTTGTCTCGGTTACCGGCCGCTAGATTATTGTTGGCCAAGTATAAAAGGGTAATTATTTTTTTCCCTCAGACTTTGCGCGATATGTGTATGTTGTAAAAAGTCTCAGCGCTCTACACACGCGTGAGACGGAAAAAAAACACCCATTTTTTTGTTCGATGTACCGCAGATACGCGTCTGGGAAAAAGTTCAGCCGCCACTAGAAAATGATTTCACAAAGCCGTCAACGAACCGGCAAAGTTGGCGTTTTTGTATGGAGAAAAAAATAACTAATTTTTTTCCGCTATAACTTACTTTACGCGCCATGGTGGTGCCGCCATGCATACCACATTCGACTGAGCTTTATCTCGGGTAAATTATATTATACTTAGGAATTATACGGTTTTTGTAAAAAAAAAACCCTCTGTCAAAATCCTTGCCACTATATTACCTCAGCCTCAAAACCATCCAATCGCCACCAAAATTGAATCAGTTCATCTAGACAAACGAACAGACAAACTGGTATAACTTCAGGGGAAAATCCACATAGGCTGATCGACGGACATGGGGATTGCACAGACGAACACACATACACTGATGGAATGCCAACTTACTCTCTTCCCGAGATTAGAAAAAAAAATGTCCAGGGAACCGTAGCTCAATACTTTCTACGGTTCCCTAGAGTCAAGGAACCTTTTGAAAATTAATTTCACTTGTCTGATATGGTCCATATCTCTTTCATAACCAAGTCTTTTGTTCAAGAATACCGTTATTAGCTGTAATCTGAATACTATGCCTACTATTTTTTTTTTTATAGAAATTTTCACAAAGCCTTATGAATTGTTTTATTTCACCTAGATTAGCGCATTTAACAAAATTTAACTACAGACAACATTGTTCTCTTAACCGGTAACCTAGATGTTCTCGCGTGCACTTCCAAGCGGTATTCGTCTAATGTCTAACGGCTTAACTGACACTTTTGCCGAATTCTGTGAAGTGACGGCGATAACATCATTGGCGACCAATTTGGGACCAGTCAGATTAACGCGTTGAGGTTATTGGATTGTTCAAGTCTATCAAGTCTATCACTATAAGGGACCGCAGGCACTACTGAAATAGGACTTGTGGGGGGGGGGTAATACAATAATAATACATAGCGGCCACCGACTATTAAGCGTGAGTTCTTTTGCGGTGTCGACGGATAACGTTCAGTCGGTTTTTGAGTTATCTCGAGACGTAAGTCACGTCCTCCGCCGAAAGAAAACTTTTATTCGCTTTGGCCTTTTTTATTCTCCCGTCTTTTCTTGTTCGCCCCTTCTTTGACGATCACGCTGTAACGATTCCACGTTGTCAAAAAAAAAAAACGTCCCCCTTAGTTCCGGACGCGTTTTAAAACCCAGCCCTTCCACGCCACCGCAGTTTTCATTATTCAATATAATATATGAGAGATAACTACGTAGCTATGTGCTATGTACATACAAGTATTGATTCGTTCTGTCAGATATTTTTCGTCCCCCGTTCACATTGTGTCAACACAGTGTTGGGTCGTCTGCCCCGGCGACTATTACTACTGGGTTTTGATTGAACGCAACGATTTTCGGTCACCCGTGTGTGTAAACATAACACAGGAGCAAAAGGAAGTTCATCAGCACAGTTGAAAATCATAACGTAAAAAATATAATAGGAAAAAATGCCCCTATAGAAAACGTGCGACATTTGTCGGTTTCCTGCGAGTCCCGACCCCCTTTGAGGCTTTGAAATTACCTCACCAATGTCACACTGTGTTGTGTTCTTTTCGCACTAACACAGTACGACACGGGCTGGACGATTTAAAACTTTGGCGAACAGAAAATAAAAAAATTCACAGTGAAATATTTCCAGGATAACACGTTTGATAGCTGTTGTCGCGCGTCCCCTACTTTAACGACCGCGGTCGGATAGTAAGATGTATGAGAAAAAAAAATTATAATAAAAGTTGTTCCAAGGGAGACATGTAAATTAGACGGCACCCGAAATATTGAGCCTATCCAAGTGGGGAATACGTTCTTATTATGGATGACTTTTTACACATAGCCAAGCACAACACGTCACGGTCCATGTGCATATACATTACAATGCTCTGGCGCTACAATAAAATATATAATATAGGCAAAGCACTCCAGGCGCAACTGTCTTTTCGCGGCGACTTAAACTGTTTATGAGACTTTTATATAAACGCCTTCGGTCGTTTTTCAATATTAATCACGTGGCGTCTGAAGTGCGCCTACCCGTTACGGTTGGGTCATTCAATTGACGTTGTCAATATGTGTACATAACGATATATTCCAAGCAAACGATAAAATATAATACACTCTTTAACATAAGCCGTCTACGCCTACATACACTCTACTCGGCCTCTACTGGCGTTTTCGTTGAACTTCGTTGTAATAGATATTATTTGAAAAATATTATCGAGTTCCCTCTCCCTCCCTCTCCCATAGAGTTCTATACATTTTCTCTGTCGCGTTTCCGAACAAACGAATTATTAAGAACTAACACGATGAACCTAATTAATTTTTCAAAGACGACCATTCTGAATAGGGGTAAGTTTTGGGTCAAGTTAAAAATTAACTAAAATCAACCGCTATAGCCAATCGTCGATATCGACCGTGTGGTCGTCAGCTAATTATGGTTCCTAATGCGTTTAGCAATGAACTGCTTTAAAACAGGATTTATATAAAACCCTAACAAACGGTATAATGTCGACTATACATTTACACGCCGAACGGATAATTTTAAGTAATTTTTTAAAACAAACGATAACGTGTACGTACTTGCCCCTTATAATCGCTGTCAACCCTTCGCCTGACTCGAGTCCATATATTATTCGGTCAATCAAAATCTAAATTATAACTATTACACTTGGCCGTAATGTCATTTGACTGGCAATTCCTAGAGGCCGTTAGTGTGTTGTGCAATATACAGTTCACGGTAGGTGGTAGGGTTACGCTTAACGACATTATAATAGCAACAGCAAAAAAATAATAATAATAATGAGTGATAAAAATAAAATAACGATAAATTAACTATTTAATAGCAGTGCCACGAGTGCCACAAACTCTGTTTGTTTTTAATTCGATCGGTCGAGCAAACTCTTTTTTACGAGCAAAAAAAAATGAAAACTGTGCCGTTGCCAGAGAGAGAGCCACCCATCTTTCCGAATGGGGAAAAAAGAATAAGATTTCGCCCTCTCGATACTCTACCGCGGCCGCAATATAATACTGCAAATAACGAGGTGCGCGTTATGATAAATTGTTATTGTTTGTATTTTGTGTGTACAATTTTTTTTTTCTTGCCTTTCCCCCGTAAGTACCAATATGTGTTGTTTTTTTTTTTAAGTTGACGACATAAGCGCGCTAGAAGCTTACCTCGTGGGTGTGTGTGCCCGCCAAGTTATAAAACTTTTGCGGGTCTCCCCGACTGTGCCGAGAACACACACACATGCACATAATAATTGAAGGCGTTACTGCACCCCGGGGACCTCTATACAAAATCCCCCCTCCCCCCGATCAAACGACGGTGCCGGTAATATATTCAGACGCGTTCGGTGCACTAATTTACATGGCGTGGGGGCAAAAACACCGGGCGGAACTTCTCAATCATAAATTAATCGAGCTACCCAATTCTCGAACCGCCCCGACCGGGCAAAGTACACGTGAAACATTCTCGCGGTGTCGTTTTTTATCCGACCTTAACTGCAACAACTCGGCTCAATAGTCACCATTTTGTTTTAAACTACTAAAGACCGCGCGCCCGCTTTGCGCACACTAAATTTTAAACTTTCGATGGGGTCTCGAAGGTATGGAAACGCATACAGTTTCGTATACCCGCAAGTACACCGAGAGTAGCTCCTTTTCGAAAACTCTGTCGTGCACCACAAAATGTCTTCGGCTACAGTATACAATAACACAGGTACTCGTACTGCACACTGCGATGTGACTTGTATAAAAAAAAAAAACAATTGCACGCTAATCCCCGGCGGATTGCCGGAAGAAAGTTTATAAAGTGCCGCTTTAATTCCTCGAAATCGCCCGTGGTGTCTTGCAAAGAAAACATTAAAACGCCGCATTACACGTTTCTCATGTAATGTAATAACACTACACTTAAATCCACTCGGATTTCGACCGTTTAATTCGGTTCTTAGATGTTACATTGCAATTACGTTTTAGTCTGTATATAATCGCATAGGTTGGATTGATTTGGTCGCTGGAAAAGGTTTGGGTACAGACTATTTATGAAAACCGGTTGCTCACTCGGCCGAAAACAAAGGCTGACATTTTTAAAAATACCGATTAGGCACTCGCAAAGATATCAGTGTAGTCTCATAAATTGATAAAAATTATTGCTTAGATATTTTACAATATTATTGTACAGACTATATTATCATATTATAGATTATATATTTAAATGATAACTGACTATATTATCACAGATAAGATAATTTCTTTTTATCTAATCTATGGTATTGTTATACGAATTCATGCTTGAATCTGCAGTCACACCGATTGCATTTTGAGACATGTGACGTCATGGTTAATATTTACATGCCGAGTGAGTATCAACGGTCACGGTCTGCAAATTTTTAGAAACAAATTTAAACACTTCTAATAGTGTATCAATGAGTGCAACGGCAAAACCATGTAAAAAAAAAAAAAAAGACTATTATTTAATAATGTTTTTTTTTGTTTCTACTGTTATCGTTGTGAACATAAATTTACAGGTCGTTTGTTTGTCTGTTACAGATCACGTACGAGAGTTATCCTGCGGCCGAATGTACTACAGGACTTTTCACTTGGACGAAAGTCGTGACACACTATACGTCGGTGCCATGTAAGTTATACATTTGTCATTCTCAGAACCCTCCCATGACCGCTGCACCTAGGTGTAACAACGAGTTCAACATGTTTGGAGCCGGCCTGAACCGCCTGACTCGGCCAAAGTGAATTACGGTCGTCAAGTCAGCTTATTATTGAGTTTTTTTGGCACATCACTGATTGCGAGCTAACCTTTAGTTAGGCACCCCATGTGTACATCTTGCCAGAAATCAGAATTACAAGGCGAAAGTGCAAACACAACGGTTTTCTACTAAACGTGTTACATATTCAGATCGAGTCGTGTGTGTTTTGAAAACGCCTTTTTCACAATATATAAAGCATACTACGGTAATAATTGTTGTGTCAACAGTCGGTTTGTTTTACCGAATCATCAATATTTCATGCGCGAACAACGCAATTTTCACGGCACCCCTAACCGTCGAATAAAAAAGTATGATTTATATCTAAAATAATATTATAAAATATTATATCGCATTGACTCTGACGGGCGTTCTGCGTGCGGTAGGTACTCTGAAAGAAATATTTTATCGTCGATGATTTTCGCCTTTGATGTTTTTATATTGCCAAACGGATTTAACTCGACGCGGCCTTTGAACAACGCCGGCATTATATTGTTCGAGCATACAGCTTATTCGACCAAATATACAAGTTGAAGTATCCGCGCATGCAGCCACGAACGCGCGTGTATCGCGTACCCGGCTGGTAACATAATCTTTTTCGGTTTCTTTTTTCATATTATATTATTATTTTTCCTACATATAAGTACCTGCCTGTGTGCTTTTAACGTGAATTTCAATAATCCGAATTCCCCTTAGGACCGCCGGTACATTGGCATCCGGAACGCGAGCCCGGCGAATTACACAAGTCTCGGTGCGTTTGCTTAACGATACGTGACGTCCCCCTAAGGAAACTGAAATATTATTCTACCCTTGTGCTCGTGTGTATGTCGCCAAGAAAGCGTCAGAGAATGAGATAATGTTATAGCGGCTATAATGTACAAACGAAGAAACGCAATAACGTACGGTAAGGACATCTGTTGTCTTTCGCAAAGCGTACTGTGTAAGACAATTCGGGAGTGTTTACTCACTAGCCGCTTCCTGGTTGCAATAGATAAATTATTAATTTTTACCTCAAAACTTCGATTTAATTTTATCATAATACTACCAACAACATTTGTTATTGGCTAAAACGTTTAAGTTAACAAAGTTTGATATCAATTTAAAAGCTATGTATAATAATATCATACATTGTATGAATAACTTTATTTAGGTAGAAACAAAATAATTTGACTCAGTTCATTTACAAAAATTCGCGTGTACTGCAAAACGGTGGTAATCATCTCACCTTACAATCATTTTTCAAAACAACGCAATTACATTTATATATATATTACTATGTAGCTGTTCGTTCTGCGGGGTCGTCCTAGTTGACGAATAAGTGCTAACAATTTCAGCTTGATCTGTTCAGGGGTTCTGAAGAGATGGACGTATTATATAGAAATATATATATTATACATAAATGAAAGGAAATTATTAAATAAAATCATCTGATCGTGTAAGTTTTTAAAAACATAAACTTAATTTGTAATACCGCTCCAATGTTTTTTTTATACGGTAGGGCCTAGACACCCTATGTGCTGTGTTTGGCTATAGAAACGGTAAAGAAAGAAAGGGAAAGAAAAAATGAATAACCGTTTGCTTTACTTAACGTATAGGGTCGGCAAAAACGCTGCCCCGGCGCGCAATAAAAATGTCAACACGGAAAGGTCGCCAAAGGCTAAATGCGCTATTAGCATTTCAAACAATGTGTATATGCGACAGTAGTATTTTTTTGTGTCGTCGGTAAAGCGGTGCGATAAAAAAAAACCTCTCTCAAAGCATCTCATTACCAAAAAGAAATCGATAACGACCGCGTGTGTGCATTATGTATGGATGTGTATGCTTAGTAGTCGTCGAGTTGGGATTTTCAAATTATGATACCCAGTGGCGCAATTAAAATGTATTAGCTTTGGGATAGATTAAGACGATATGTCTATTTATGTGAGGAAACGTCATGCGATCAACGACCTCTCTTTTGTTTTGTATGTATATACAACAACAATAAAGTGATTTACAGGTTATTTGAGTAAAAAAAAAATGCCATTCTCTACCGATTTTTCTAGTTGTATGCCACTAGCACCAACAACTACCACATAAAATTATCTTGTTCTTAGTAATTTTAATGCTAAACAGTCTAGATGTTTTTGAAAACCAGCTGTTATTTGACGATGCATGTTATGTATTGTTTAGCGGATAGAACAACAGAAATATAATATTAAATGTACTATTTTAAAATATACCTATATGAAAATGCGCGTCACTCACCCTTTTTTTTTTGTCGAATTCGATGAGTTTGTTCATGCTTAATCCCCGCGCATAACATTCCACCGTTTGCCTGATAAATCATTGAAACGCTTTGCGATGCACAATATTGTATACGATTCGAATATTCGAAAAAAAAATTAACTGTTTTTTATTGTTATAGCGTTTACCGTGGGCGCCTACAAATTGCGATAAACCGAACGGGCACATTGATTTTCCAACGCAAAAAAAAATATATACAGTGCAGTAGTGTATAAATAATATAATAGGAAATTGACTACTCAGTTTGGATTTGTTTCGTTTGTAATTTTCTCGGCGAAATAGGTGCATAAAAACCGACCGGGCCGACGTTTTTTACATCTGGTCTGTGATCGCGTGACTAAATTACACGAGCCCGGCGCTGTGACGTTAAAACGGCAAAACTTGATCGAAATCGGTTACCGGCCGCGTTATAATAATAATATATATTATGTTATGTTAGGACTGAAAAACATTTGCGTACGGATCGAAAATCAAAGGGGAAAAACACAGTTTTCAATTTCCTTTGTACGATACAAACCCGTCGAATTAAAATAAAAATAGTACATAATAATAGTATTATTTTTTTCCCCCGTTTGAACGTTATGTCAGTTCTACTTCGAGTTTAGGTATATTATTATGTTTGTACCATCGTCCGGGCTTAGCTTTTGGCCGGTAAAATACAACTCATATATATTTACAATGTATTTATACATATACAAACGGCACATAATAAACTGTACACCGAGTACAATAATTCATCGTGCGCCATATAGTAGTAAATAATATTTTTACGATTGACGGTCGTCGGCGTAATGATAAAAGTCAAACGATCGCCGTCGAACCTTTTAAGCGCGCTTTTTATGTAAACTCCATTGCTTTGTGATGGTATTATATATTATATTTTTATGGGGTGCACGCGTTTGTCTAAAGTGAGTGGAGAAAAGGTCCGCACAGTCCGTTGGTGGGTTTCATTGGTTTTCTTTTAATGTCTCGAATTTTAGTGGCGTTTCAGATAATATTAACGGCCATTCCGCGACCGAACGCGCCCAGTTTTTTTTATGTCTTGGTTTATGCCACGACCCGCCGCTCTCGTCCCTGGGCTCTTTGTCTTAAGCCTTCCGCCTCCGCCTTTGAACGGGGGGATAAAAAGGTACGCACGCCGACTGCGACCGAAACGGTTGGCGCGATTAAGATTATGATAATAATAATAATAATAATAATAATAATAATACTGTTATAATAGGGTATAATACGCGATAAAGGAAATTACAGGAGTCCAAAATACAGTCCATCCTATTACCGGAGGAGCACTGTTTGTCGGTAAACGCATCGAGTCGAACGAGAAACCGCCGAGACGTTTCTCAAACGTCTTTTATAATAATATTATATATTATGTATTTTTGTGTTTTGCCCTGCTAAGATTATACCTATTATACGTTGTGGGCAAAACCGCCCCGCGGCGTACACGCTGTGTAAGTATAATAATTGTTGTTGAAGTCCATTGTCGTTGTCCGCGACTCGAGATAATGCCAAAAGTGTTATCCTTGGTTTCACACAGAAAAGCATAATGATAGAACGGCGGTGTTTGGGGCGACGCCAAAAATCAGTCAACCCGGACGCTGCCTGGAAATGAGCAGAAAGACAAGACATCGTACTCAGGGGACGTTATCCGTCAGCTCTGTTGTCGTTCTCATACGCACATAATATAAAAGCCGTAAAACCAAGTACGCGATTGCCGATAAAAGTTGTTCCGTTAAAAACTTTTATTTTTTCATAAATCCTTTCGCCCACAGCAGCTCCTCCCCCCCCCCCTCGAGGTCGTCCTTCTTCTCTGCCATATGCGTTTTGGTCGTCCGCCCGGAAACGGAAGGTCCGGTTCCTGGCCGCAGATTTATTTTCCTGCTATACACTCGCCAGTATGTGTGTGTGTATACTTACTCTTATATTGCTTACCGAGTTGACTCTTCGGAAACGGACCCTACTTTTTTTTTCGTATCAATCCGCACGTTTTTGGCCGAGGGTTAGTGTATAGGGAGAAAACCGTTGTCGTAGGGGTGGTGGACGAGGAGGATGTGGTGGTAGTGAGGAGATAACCGGAAAAGTTTTCTACCGCTGCTCTGTCTCTATATATTTCTTCTGCGCGCATATAACTATTGTTTTAGGGTTATAAAATGGTACACTTGTTTCTTTATTTCGTGCCTTCATACGACAACCCACTTAAACAATACGGTGGTATCGCCATGTTCGGCGTACAGAGAAAGAAGCAATGTAACACAAACCGAACAATGTATATAAAGAGGAAACACATTGTTTATCTTAGCCGAAAACAAAAAGAGGAGCGATTGTTATAAACACTGCGCACAGTCTTTTTCGTATTAACGATCCCTTTATCGCGGCCAAATATTATTATTAATGTTCACGACCGCTCGACAGTTGTATAATGTAATAATACGATTTAAAACATTTCAAATGGAATTGCTTTGGGTTAACACTAATCAGTATTGTAAAGGGATGGAAGTAAAAATGTTTTAAAAAATTACCTGATTGAAACACTCTTTAATAATCTTGCTTTTCGTCATACACCTATTCGATATTAACGCTTCTGATAAAAATT